GGAGAGAGAGAGAGAGAGAGAGAGAGAGAGAGAAAGAGAGAGAGAGAGAGAGAGAGAGAGAGAGAGAGAAGAGGGAGAGGGATACATAACAAAACGAAAAGACGAACACAATGTATGCTTGCACTAAACAAACACTCACCCATTCCCTCAGATGCACTCTATAGGCTCTATTTCTATATTCGTTTCTATAATGCCATAATACCGATATCTCATTGTCGTATTATCCATATCAAATACATGTATTATTATTATTATTATTATTATTATTATTATTATTATTATTATTATTATCTTTCCTAGACTCTTGGAGATAGAACAGGCCGGTCTGTACCAGATGTGGAAAAAGAAATGGTGGCCTTCTGGTGGTCAATGCATTACAGGCACACAACATGGAACCAAAGTTGTCTCCCTCCTCCAATCTCAATCCGCATTTTATGTTCTTCTTATTGGGCTCGTTACATCGATTTTACTTCTCCTCCTCGAGACTTGCTGGAACCGGAAATGTGCGGCACTGGATTTGGATAACTCATCCCAAAAGAACAATTCGGATAACTCGCAAGGAGAATCCAATCCGGATGATTTATACGAGAAGAAAACAGATCTGGATACATTAAGTTCGACACTCAAACTCAAAGGATCTAAGCCGACACAGAGTCACGGTGGATTTGATTGGACAAAAGATGCAAAATGGTCGAATTACGTCACTCAATTCTTGACGGAAGATGTCGCCACGTTCAGCAGACGAGAGTGGCCGACGGCTGACATGTGGGACACAGAACGTGCGGACGAGAGAAGCTACGAGGGCTGGAGGACACTAGACACTGGCCTGTGAGGGTCACAGGCACTCTAAAAGTGATAGTTTTTAGTCAGTTAAGTGTTTTATCCACTCCTACTTATCCCCCCCCCCCCCAAATCACTAGAAAACAAGAATTAAAAAAACAAACAAACAAAAACAAACAAAAGTTCCCCACTTATAAACCTAAAATACACAACAAAAAACAAACAAAATGAAAACTTACACATACACACACATACGCGCACACGCACACGCACACTCACACACACACGCGCGCACGAACACACACACACACACACACACACACACACACACACACACACACACACACACAATTATATTTTCGGTTAGCAATTAAAATGTACCAAGTAGAGAATACAAAAATTTTCAAGAGATTTTTTAAAAATGATCCATTCTTTTAACATAGTACATATATTATAAACTTTGTTATTGTTTTCATCAACAGTAAGAATTTGAATTTCAACAAAATATTTCTTAGCACATGCAGCCGATGCCACAGATTAAAAAACTGCAATAAAAATTGTTTTTTCCAAATTTCGGGTTTAGTTCGAGACATTTAAGCACCTCGGCGATTCTACATAAATACACAGGGTGATCCCACAATAAACCGTACAACTTTTTTTTGTAGATATCTTGCACAACATTTGAACTAGAATGTTGTAATTTGGAACAGATATAATTTATTTAAAAGGAATTTGAAAATTTGAAACGCTTAACTTCAGTGCGGAGGAAAATATTAACAAAAAAGTTAAACAGTTGGGGGGTTTTTCGGATCACCTTGTATTATAAAGCAACAACAAAAACCAACCAAACAAAACAAAAACATCAAACCCATCTTCTTTTCCCAATGACCTTCGTCGAGATCTGTCCATTCCTAATTACCACATCAGTCGTTTTGTGTCATCTGTGACTAATAATTTTGTCCTTTTATAAAATACCCCCCCCCCCCCAAACCACCACCACCATTAACACGTGTTCTGCATACCACATCTTTAGCCTCAAGGACGGTCTCTACTAATTAAGTGCTGCACCAGTAACTTTCTGACCCACATAATGTTAACGTTTAGCTTCTATAGTGTATACCTTTATGGAATATTTCAGTTTGTTACGATTAATTATCTATGCGACTCGCATAAAGACAGCATAAAGACGTAGCTTCTATAGTCTAGGGGTTACGCTGTCGGACTCGTAATCGTAAGCTTGCGAGTTCGAAGGTTCGAGCCTCATGCAAACGTTGTGTCCTTGGGAAAGAAACTTTACTGACTACTACATGAATTTTCATCACTTCGCCCAGATGTGACCAGGTCGGGTCTGGTCAGTATGTTAGTGTTTTATCGCCTGTAGAATAGCAGCTTGCACTGTATTCTTCCCATGAAGTTGATATTGTTTCAGAATGCTGTAATGAAGGTCTGCTGGGATAATAATATATGTACATGGTAGATTGTACAGCGCAAAGACCTTGTTGTTCAGCGGGGGATTTGCGCTAAACAATATGCTTTCAGATATTATTTTGAAAAGAGTATCCAAGTCCAACGAATAATCGCCGATGTCGCAGATCTGGTACTTGATGATGATGATATTTTGTATTTTTATGGAATATCTCAGATTGTTATTATAAATAAAATACTTTAATAAATATTGTCATGACTGTTTAGAAATACGTTGGGCGCCTTTTCGTTAGTTCTTTCCGTTTCTTGCACTGACAAACTATAGTTTCTTTTTTATCTTCTGAGAGAGTGAAACATGAATTTCAGCATGTTTTTTATGTCTAACTCATCAAATACGTATCCGATTCAAACAAAACCAATGCATGGCGAACAGCTTTTACTATATTATTATTAGATCTGCACTTCATTGTATTTCTTTGATTGCTGAGTTATAGGCCCCGACTCTTGTGTAGGAATACGGCATTTGGCTATATATGAAAGATTTCCACTAAAGCCCTTCAGGTGGATGAAAAGAGCACACTTAATAGAAGTTAGAAATGGACGGTGGTTGGTTTTTTCTTCTTTCTTTTTTAGAATATCGAGGATTTGCCTAATTTCTCGAAAAAATTGAGAACGACATCCGACTCATTTTGTGATGCTGGTACAGTTGTAGTTGTATTCTCTTGTAAAACGGCATATGAGAGCAAGGTTGAAAATGGAATGTGATCTTAAATGAATATCAGCTTAATTCCTTTTGATTTCCTTTCTATTTCCAAAAGTTACGTTCAAATTTGAGTAAAGCTTCTGTATGCCGTAAAATATGGTATGGTATGGTATGGTATGATATGGAATGGTATTTTACGGTGTATGGTAAGGAACGGTATGGTGTAAAAATAGAGGTTTTGTCTGATTTCTCGAAACAGCCGAGAGCGACATCCGGCTCATTTTCTTATGTTGCTACGCATGGTCTACAGATCGAACCTGCGCTTCTCCTCTAATACGGGGTATGCAGTATGGCTGGATCGGGCCGGGTCGGTCGCCCGACTCTGTCGCCTGAAACTGAAAACAAACGCGTTTGTTTTTTAGGCAACCGATCTGCCAATCCTATCCCTAGTGGGCACCTCGTTTTAGACTTACTTGCGTGATGTGGTGTGGTGTGGTGTGGTGTAGTGTAGTGAAATGGCGAGAGCTGGTTGTCAGATGCAGTGGTGCCCCCACGGTTGCCCCAACCACTGGATAGAAGAAGAAGAAGAAGAAGAAGAAGAAGAAGAAGAAGAAGAAGAAGAAGAAGGAGAAGGAGAAGAAGAAGAAGAAGAAGAAGAAGAAAATGTGGTGTGGTGAGATGTGGTGCAGGGTAGTGTAGTGCAGTTTGATGCATTGTTGTGGTGAGGTGTGGTGTGGTGCGGTAACGTAAAGTAAGGCAAGGTTTAGTATGGTCTCTCTCTCTCTCTCTCTCTCTCTCTCTCTCTCTCTCTCTCTCTCTCTCTCTCTCTTTTCTCTCTCAGTCTCTCTCCGTCTCTCTCTCTTTCTCTCTGTCTCTCTCTCTCTCTCTCTCTCTCTCTCTCTCTCTCTCTCTCCCTCTCTCTCTCTCTGTCTCTCTCTCTCTCTCTGTCTCTCTCTCTGTCTCTCTCTCTCTCTTATAATAGTACTAGAGGTCGCAACTGTGACGTCACCCAGGTAAATTCACTATGGCTGTGCGGGCCTACTCAGCTCCCTTTGTCACCTATTTTGAAAGATTAGAAACAGGCCTAGGTCTTCATAGACCTTGAAGCTCAGTTCAGTTTTATTTATTTGAGTTGTCTTTTAGTTTGCTGTTGTTGTTTATAGCATACACGCATACACAATTGTGGGAAACATATGCACTTAAATGAGGGCTACAAATGAACAGAGAGATATAATGAGGTATTGTTTGTTCTTCCTGGGGGGGGGAGGGGCGAGGGAGACGAAGTGAGTAATTGAATTTGTTAAGAAAAAGGACAACTTATTTCCTACTTACAAAATGGATTGCTTTTATGTCATGTTGTCTACACTCTCCTTCTACTGATGCAAAGTCTAGATGTTCAAAGAGAATGAAGGGGGTTAAGACTGGGTTCATTATTTGATATATTATTTCGTTATTGTCTCAAAATGAGGGGTTAATTGTAGGCTGGGATCAGTAAATCACTCATTGTGTGGAACATGTGCGAACACTCAAAGAGCGTTGTTTAATATCGGGCACAAATAATTATACACTGACTTTTTAAAATGCAACACTTAGATAAATAGCCGGTATATCTTAAACATTTACAATATTTTCTAAAATTGGCGTTGATTGGCTATGGTATTTGGCTGGAAAACTCCCAATCTTCCTTTAACCCCTGCTGCTACTGCTACACGACATTTTGTTTGGCATCGGATCCGCATGTGTGACAGAATGTTAACACCGGTCTTACTGGTGGGTAGTTACGTCCTCTTGTCTACTTAATATATTTCTCTCATCTCAACAACATCGACAGTAGTTCTTTTCTGTTCAACCAGCCTTGAAGGTATGCTAAAGTTACAGCTGAAGCTTCCAGCAGTTTCTCAGTCACATTCCTGATTCTGTAGGGCCGATATGAGCACCTAATTGTGGTGCTAAATATAGTCATATTATTTGAGCGACGCATAGCAAAAGATTTCAATAAAATTATGTTTTTATTTCAGCAAGTGATCGTCAAGTCCATCTCATTAATTTTTTTCTGAACTTTACTCACCCATAACATGGTCTCAGGGTGAAAAAGGCCTAGTTTGCACTATTTGGAGATTATCTGGCTCCTTTAAAGGTTAACAATCACGAAAATCCATATGAGTACATAGGCAAATCATATGAAAAAGAAATCAAAATTAAAAGACTTCGAAGAGTATCATCAACCCGTGATTGAAAAATGTAGCTAATGGCGCACGCCCCTAAAATTTGACACTCGTGACGTCGCAGGTAAGACCTCTAGTTCTATTTATAACCTCTTGAAGACATATTATTATTATGACGCGGAAACGGGAAAAAAATCCGCTCCCTTCCGAGGGTTTTACACTTTAAGACGGAAAACGTTTTGCCCGTCCAGTCCCGATTTGAAACAAAACTCGCAAGTTTGGTTCCGTCCGCTGGTCTAAGCTTGTCGCTATGCTACCGGGCGAGGAAGGAGAGTAAGGCCGCAACCATATTAACGCCAGACACGGACGGTCAGACCAGACCGTCTTTGGGAACAAAAGAATGCGCACCGGCTCTTTAGTAATGGAAGGTAACAAAAAACGGTTTGGGCTACCATACTGACGCCCGACGTCCTGTGTCGTCCCAGGTCAGACCGTCTCCGATAAAACATTCTTCTATGGAAGATGTTCCGTTGGGCGAGATGGGAGGTAATCGAGGAGTTTAGAACTAATGGAGCCTCCTCTCTCTCTTCGCGGCGCCACGAGCAGTACGCCGCGATGGGGATCAAATATGGCCGCCGACTGTGGGCTAAATCACGAACTGTGGCGTTTCTTTTTATAGAATCTTATTGGGCTGGGCCACGTTGTGGTGGTGGGCGGGGTGGGGGAATGCATGCAAGGAAGAGGGGATGGGGCTGGGATGAAAGAAGAGGGTCGGGCCTTGGGAAGGGACGAAGGAGAATGGGAAAATTTAAATAAGAGAGTGAGAGAGAGAGAGAG